TCTGAAAGAGAATTAATTCTGTCTTAGAAATCAGTAGCAAGGAAGAAATCTTGCTTAAATAACAACCTCATTCTCAGAGGCAAATTTCAAATACAGTTTTTGGGGAACCAGCTGACGAGTACTTCTGTGTGAACAAGCTCAAGAAGAATACTCTCTCAGAACAGGTATTAATGTATCACTAATATGAAGCTGTTGCCTTTCCTTCAAGGCCAGAAGGAATATCAGCTGTATTATCTGCAGTTCAGACTTATTTTCCAAACCTTGCTTTTGTCAGGTTCTCTGTCATCTCTAATTTCTGATGCTTTCCTTTGATCACTTGCACTTCAGCCTGACTCAGCATAACAAACATCAAAAAGAAGTCTCATTGCATATCAGACATCTGCATTTATTCTCCTATTTATTACAATTTTTTAATTAATTATGACAATAATTTAATTAATTAGATGAATTAGATGAATGAATTAATCTAATTCATGTCTATAAGACAGCAATTCTGGGCTACAAATAATATGTGTGGTCTCATTTTGCCCCTACAGGAAATGCCATAAATGCAACAGGAATCTAATGCGAGATGTATCATGAAGAGTGAATCGGTGCTTCGTTGTTACACCAAGTGACAGACTTCCTTAAAATGCTGCACCAAGGTTCAAAACAGTTACATGTACATGATTCTAAATTATACAGGCCAGATCTGCATGGCATCACTCAAGTGTCTGCAGGATTTTAAGGCTAGTTTTCTATTTGTTCTAAAGCCAGGAGTAACAAGTACCTTGCAAAATCACCTAAAGAAGTTCAGATACATAATACCTCTCACTCATTGTATAACAGTGACGTCAATGATTTAAAAAAAAAAAAAAAAAAAAAATAGCAAGATGACCATGAACTGTAATCTAGCAAAAAGGATTATTCTGTTTAGTAAGCACTGGGATGGCGATGCTTGCTTCAGTGGAAGCACTGACAGAGTCCTTGTCCTCTATGAGCCCTCTTTACAGGAAACTTGTAAGAATCAGTATTTCAGCAACTCTGGCTTGAAATAGCCAACAGATTCTAAAGGGGGAGGATGGACAATATTCACAAACACATAGACATCATAGTTTCCTCAGGTTTGTCTCACTGAGAAACTAGATTAAATAAGCCCCAAACTAAATATACCTCAGACAAATAGAATAAACGAAAATTTTAGGAAAATCTATATAAGTGACTTTTTATAGCACATCTTGAGCCACTGTCTCAGGTAAAACAAGCAATTGGATCTTCAGCAAATTTCAGAACACTCATTTGAAGGTCCATGTTTAATTACCTTTTCTAGTATTTGTATTTCATAAATAATTCTGTAAGAGAATAAGCCAAGAAAGTCCCTCAGAAATGGTGTCTCTTGGTAACATTCAGTAGATGAACCTTTGGGTAGGTGAGATTTTTACCTGAAGACGGCTTGGATGAGGAATAGAAGGATGTAGGGCTGAAGGGACAATTAATTGTTTAGCTCAGGATCAAGCACGCCTAGACCAAGATTTTTTTTTTTTTCTGTCCATCAGCTTAGTTCCCCTTTACTACAAACTAAGCTGGTTCCCTCTTGTCCTATCACCAGTGGATGTGGAAACTAATAGCCATTGTCTATATCAATTCCTTTTGTAAAAAAAAATTACTTGCCCCACCCAAAGAGTCCTTCCTTCTACACAGTGGCTCCATTGCTCCCCATCTTGTAGGTTATGGTTTCTAAACATTCCAGAGGTGCTGTTCACTCCTCTCAGGATATCCCCAACTATCTACAGCTTCAACACACAACATCAGCTAAGGCTGAACACTGCCAAGTGGAGAACAATTATTTCCTGCATCTTTTATTCATATCCCAAGTTACTACATCCCAGAATAGGAAAGAAACCTACAGAAAACATTAACTTTGTCTGAATTTCATCTTCCTGAATGTTCATTATCGGTGACTTTCTTTGTCCCACTTATTTCTCACTGCTTCAATAAACCCTCAGGATTTTCCATTGGGTCAGAGAGTTTGTAATCAGTGACATCTTTGTGGAAAAAACTTCAGTTAGAAGACAAAGGTGACTCCTGTAATTTCCAGAAACGCTAGCACTTAATCTAAAAATTACTGGCTATAAAGGAAAAACCCAGGCTGAATATATGATACAGCCTCTGAAAAACAGGGGAAGAAATTCCCCACAAACTGTCTTTACCTATAGGCCAAAATGTTTGCATTGTGCGTGATGGCACCACGAGGGTTTTCTTTACTGCTCCATCAGTTGATCCCTGTTTCCTTGCCACCTTGTTGAGCACAAACAATGCCCAAATATCAAGAAGCTATCAGCTCCCTACCGGCATCTGGGGTGAAGATGACCCAGGGTAGGGAGCGTAACAAGCAGACAGCTGGCAGGAACAAGAGCTCCTCTAGCCTAGACTGTACTATGCAAAACTTTTACTGCAAAAACAAGGTCTTATTTCTCATTCTGTAAACACTGGATGCAGAGAATTTAAACCATAAGCTGAGCTCCTGGCAGAGCAGAGCCAACAGCATCCAGGCCACATTAAATAGGGTGCCAGTGCTTTAAAGGCATTCACGGCCATAGCTGTACGCCCTAACAAATGTTCCCGTGCCTGGAATTTCCAATTAGAGGGCTTTAGGCCTCCAGATGCACCCAGCTGGGTGCGTAACAGGGATGTGGACGGGCTTAAGGTCCTCTGAGCAGGGCCCAACGAGCCTCTGAAGCAGCTAGTTTATTTGCTGCGGTACAAGAAGCTACGAAAGAGACAGAACAGAGGGGATAACCAGCGCAGGAACTGCGAGAAGGAAGCAAAGAGACACGAGGGGAATAACAAGGCCGTTGCCTGGATGATGACACTCCTGTCAGCACACAAAGGTGGCTGGAGGTCAAACACACCCGTCCGCTCCAGAAGAGGTTTTGGCTTTCTCCCCCCAGAACGCTCCAGCCTTCCTTGCGCTCCCTGGAGGGGACAGCCCCGGCTGCTGGAGCCTCTTCAAGCCCAGGCCACCGGGGAAGTGACCGAGTCCTGTCCGTGCTGTCCCGCAGGGGCTGACGCAGGCCGGCGGGCGCCGGTCCCGGGGCAGGCCCGCGGTGGCTCCCGCAGGATGGCGAAGCTGCTCCGGGACCTGCCAGCCGCTCCCAGGGACTGCTCGTTTCCCACCATGGCCCACGCCCCGCTCACCAGCTCCTCCTGCCTCACCGCCCAGTCCGGCGCCAGGGGTGACTCCGCCAGCGGCACCCCCCTACTGACACCATTTGCGATGCCCTCATCGTTTGTGGACAGTTAATTACTTTCCAGAACTCCAAGCAAACCCAAGCAGTTCTAGCACTGGGCAGACGCTGTGTTTTTATACCACTGCTGCTGCTGTTTTCTGTGGAAGTAAACATCAAAATGCAAATCAGAACTAGCTAGTTAAATGCGTCACTTGAGCGCAAGACAAAAGGGGTTTGTTTGCAAAAGAAATTACTGGGACAGCTCTAGAAAGCAGAGCTTATTTCTGGTGAAGTCGAACCGCACCCCCTTCTCAACCAAAGCAATTTAGTGAAGGTTGAAGAAATTACTTAAGTCACTGGGATCGCACACTCACCCACACAAGCGGTTTGTTTAAATCAGTAAATCAGCAGTGGCAAGGGAACACAGGCCAGTGCAGGGCTGACAGCCAGGAAGGCTTTGGAGAGGCTATGGAACCAGTTCTCCAGCATCTGCCACCAGTGTCCCCGGTAGGCAGGAGGGATCGGGCAGAGCTGAGGCATCACAGAAAACGAGCACCCGCTCTGCACTGCCACTCCAGCACACTCCTGCTCTCGTCCAGCCAGCCCTCCAAAACACACATTTGGTGATTAACTGGTGGATACAATAAACAATTAAATCAACATCGGTGTAAACATACCGGATGGTCAGTTTCGATGCTCTTTTGTCAGAGGCAAACCCTCTGATGACGAGGGAGGTCTGTCAGTGAATTTACATAGAAACCATTTCACGTAAGAAGGTATTGCCATGGTCACTTAGCCAACAGCGTCAGCTACCAGCCTCTGCAGAGAAATCTCGTGAAGAACCAAGTTAGCTAAAGGTACAAGCTGTACTTGGCCTCCGAGGAAACCCCCCCCCCCCATTCAGCGCAGCACCGGGGTGGTGGCTCAGGCCAGAACATACCGGTGGCCCAGCACGGTTGGAGGCTGCTGGGAAAGGCTCCGGGCACACGCACTTGTCACGGCGCGAAGGACACCCGATGCTCACACTTAGAGCTAACACAAGTCTCCACGGCTGAGCTTCTGGGTACGGGAACACGATGGGGCACCAGCGGAGAGCTGCACTTGCTCCGCCGGGAAGGGTCTGCCGTGGTTCCTCCCACAGAGAGACCACGTGCTGCTTCTTCACGGGGCCCTTTTATTGTGTAAAGGGTAAAACTTTTATCGTGAGGATGATAAAAGGTGAAATTACGACGGGGAACGGCCCTCAACCACAGCTCAATCGAGTTAACGTGTGGCGCAATATACTCACGTGCATTCAGCTGAGGGGGCTGAATGGAAAAAAAGGACTGGTAAAGGTCCAGACACATGGCAGGTGGTAACACGGGATAGGAGTCCTTGCTAAAGAAGTGCTCTAGAAACACTCATTCTTTACTTTTTTTAAAGGCTGTTAAGGATGTTTGGATTAACCTTATTTTTAATAGGTACTCCAAGTTTTTTAAAAAAATACACATCTGGTATTGAGAACTAGCCCTAATAACAGAGGTAAGGGGTAGGTCCATTAAAAAGTTACATATGTAAGGGTTTTCTCTTCTGAGATAGTGATACAAAATACAACGGTAGATTATCTTCTTTGGAAACATCAATCCAAAAAGGTAATATTCTAAAAGAGTATCTCTAAAGAGACACTTTAAAAGAGGCAGATGAAAGACTTGAGAAAGCTGGAAAAAGAAAGAAGGCTATTAAGAAAAAAAATCACTTTTTTTTTTAAGAGGGTTCTGATTAAATAGTAAGTAATTTTCATTAAACGAAATGTTCTAGTTTTCTCAAAAATTTTTAATCTTCACCTCAGAAAACCCGAAGCTAGAGAGATGCTTCAGGTCCTCTGCATATATCAGTAATCATCTTCACCCTTGTCTGTACACAGAAAGCATGGAGCACAGAGACATTTCACACTCATTGCTCTAACCTGATCAACAAATAAAACAATCTCTCAGTAGTTATTTTAAAAAGTGGTAATTTTAGAAGGGAGGAAGAGAGAGAAGAGTGGAATGCATTATCAGTGTCAGATTTTTTTCAGTGGTCATTGGTTGGTATAAAGGTCTGGCACGTATCAGTAGGCAGAGAGGTGCTTGTTAAGTATCATTTTGCATACGGCTGTTATTGCCATATCCAGATACCTATACAGCCTGCCAGTTACAGAGCATCCGTTCTTCCAGGTCATATCTGAACTGTAACTTGAACCAAGGCTTCACTTTGCACTCCCTAGTTTTGAAAGTTGTAGTTTAAAAATATAGGGCAAGAATAATATTCTACAGCAACAGAAGAGTTAGTAGTAAACATGAAAACTTTTGATCCTTTCCTATTAGAAAACAGGTTATAAAGAAGCTCTATAGCAAGAAACTCCAGCTATTCCTGAGGGGGTAAAAAAAAAAAAAAAAAGGCAGCGTCAAGATGTTATCTCCTCTCTGTTTAGACACACAATCTACTTAAGCAGGAAATACACACAGACAGAAGTGGACAATCAGCCCAACAGATGCGCCAATCAGTGTCCTATCAGTGGACAACGATGACAAGCTGCTGACATTTCAGAATTTCTCTTCGAATCCCAGGTGCTGTCTGAGTACACACAACACCAGTGAGCAGGACAGAGCTTCTCGGAAGTCACTGCCTTGAAACACAGAACTAAAACAGCACTGCAAGAGAGACTGAGAGTGACAAAGAACAGGAAAAAAAAAAAACAATCCAAACCCAAATCCCTTTCTCAAAACACACTTCAGAGCATTTTCGATGAGGGGAGAGGAGGCACTCATTATTACTGTAGCAAAAAGACTGCAACAGACCTTCCATGAGGAGAGTACCACGGGGCCAGCACACAATCCAGAAGGAAAACTAGAGCACCAGTTTCCAGCGTGACAACAGATTAGGAGGGCCTCTTGGAGTCACCCAAGACGCTGCTATCGCTTGCACCCACAGCGTTATTCCTTTTGTAAGTGGCAAACTGTTCCCTTACACAACAAAGCCCTTTTTTGTGCCTGCTCTGTACTACATTTTTAATTAAAGTTAGGAAAGGGGATTGACTGTTCTCCTGTTTTCACTGCTCGCTCTCTCTCTAACACCAGCAGGAGCTGTCTTTACAGCCACACTAATAACACCCACCTGTAGCCAGCGGTGCTGGCTGCCCCGTACCACTCCTGGGACCTCGCTCCCATGCAGTGTCGAGTCCTCGGTTCTCACGCTCAGTCCCACGGGATTCTTCCTCTTCCTCCTCTTTTGCTTCTCCTTTCCCTTTCATATGCCTTCCCTTCACTTTCACTGGCCCATACAACAGTGTTAGCGATGCGCGCCCTTTCCCCTGCGCACCCAGGGACGCAAGGACATCCCCTTTTTTCACCTGTTTTGATCTCACTGTCTGTGTCTGCCTCATCCCTATCTCCAACACTGAACCATCCCCCCTGGTCAGACCACAAAATACTAAGGGACACAAATCAGCTTTTGATCTTGCCACTTTCTTCCAGAATTTGAGCACTCCTCATTTTTTTTGAGCAAGGGTGTCTGCATTTGCATGTATGTACGTGACCACAAACATACAAACGGGCCTCAGGCTCCTCTTGAACGCAGCCAGCCTTGGAATGTGGCACGTGGATCTGCTGGCGAAGGGCCTGTACCACACACTTCGGGTCCAGATCTGTCTCATTAGCTGTTGGTGCCCTTAATCATCTCTCTTTTATAGAATTACTCCATCCTCAGTGTCTACTCTGTTTTTCTTTCCTCCAATGCCATTGAGTGAATCCAAGCCAGCAGTCCAGGAACGCTTCTTGCTCCCTTTACACCTTGAGCAAAGCACACAGTTATGAAGCGAGATAGTTACACGCAGATCCATCACCCCAAACAACAGAGAGGGACAGTCCTCTTTCTGTATGAAATCTGTCTCTTGCCGGAATCCATTCTGATGAAGAAGTCCTTACACAAGAGTGAAGGAAAAAAACCCAACCAACAAAATCATCCTGAAAGGTGACCCTCATTTTAGTTAAATGGTCCAAATAAAAGATCAATTAAAGCCTCTTTTCTTCTGGGCAGAGAAAATCAGCAGCATTTATACGAGACAGAAAAAAGCGGATAATCTTGCTTTTGCTGATTTTTAAAGTGAACAAGGACTAACAGCACCTCTAACATTCCCTTTTCTCTCCATAACAATCCTTCTTTTGGAAGCAAGAATGTTATTTTAAAACTGAGATTTACACTTCAGAAAAACAGGTGATACAATGGGAGAGAGTAAGCGCACGGGATTCCCATTGCTCAGGTTAAAATCACACACTGTAATTATTCTGCCAGCTCCTGAAAAAAAAAAGAAAAAAACCAAAACAAAACACCACCAAAACCACCCAAACTGTACTAGATAAAATAACCAGCAGTGTTTCCTCTCCAAGTTCAGAATAACACCTTCCACTCCTTTTGACCTGAGCTGAGGCTTGCATGCCCTAGAATTTCTGACAAATGAAGATAGAGACAAGCTGAGCAGTGAGGTGTTATCTACCTAAGTCAGAGATAACTGATGACTCTGAAAAAGCACCGTATCAGTACACGTCAGCAGCACAGACTTTAATTTACTCTCAAATACTGCACAAAAGTACTGCATGCCCTCTCACAGGGTTAGAATTGGCCCAGACATTGTAGAGAAGGAAAGGAGCTGTTTTAGGAGGAAAGCTGAAAAATTACTCAACAGCAAGAGAAAGAGGATTATCTTGAATGGCCCACCATTGCTTTTTCACTGATCTTGGTTTCATTTTGTAAAGACTGCAATGATGGCAATAAAAGGAGAAGTAGGTTGATCGCTATCACACACATGATAGAAAAAAAATAAATGATACCAGCAGATATACCTGATCTTCAGGGAACTACTGACTAGGGCTGTTTGCTGACCCAGCAAAGACTACCTGCGAAGAAGCACCTACTGAAAAAATAAAGCAAGCACAAAACAAAATAAAGAAAACAGTGAGATAAAAATTCCTATTTCTGGGTCATTCTCATCAACAGTATCTCACAGAATCCTTGCCACCACAGACTTTTTCATTTTGTCAGGATTTACTTCTTCCAAGACATAGTTCTGTTAAGCATGGAGTAAGGAAACAAGGGAAGTTAAAGCTTCAGAATTAAACACTTTAGTCTTGGAACACTGTTTCCTAGATAAGACATGCCACCCAGTCTGGCTAGAGTTGCAGTGATTTAGAAGAGGTATGTGTAGAAGCTGTGAACTAATTGGAAATTATGGGGTGTTGCGCCCCCCAATGATGGGAAGGGAAAAATCTAAGGTTAGCAGGAGCCCAAGAATTTAATTAAAAAAAAAAAAAAAAAAAAAAGGCAAACCAAAAAACCCCCCACAAACTAACCAAAGATCTTTGTTTCTGGTGACATTTCCCTGAAAGCAGAGAACAATCTAGATATTGTCTTTTCTTTCCCCAAGTAAAAATCACTTCAGGCCATTCCCTCACCCTCCCATCAGATGCATGCAACACTGAAAATTTCTGAGATTTTTTTTTTTTATTATTTTATTTAAACCATAGGTTTGGGGCAAGATGGGAAAAGAACAGCACCTTTTAAAAAAACCCTGTTGAGTGCTATATTGGATAAATAGGTGAGCTTTAAAAAAAAGCTAAGTTTGTATATGTACATATACACACATACACTAAACCAAATTAAAAAAAAAAACTTGTGAAGGGTCATTTTCAACACAAGAGAGAGGAAAGCCTTATTTCACAGCAAGCAAAAGCACCACAAGTTAAGATTAGAGTGCAGTCACATGTAGTGCAGATACCAAACTAGCCTGGGTCCTGGAAGCAGCGTAGCTAGAGCAGCACCAGGCTCCACGGGGGCCAACTTATCCCACTCCTCGGCAAACGCGAGCTCAGAGCCTACTTCAGGATGGTGTGCTGTGCAGGCACTCCCACAGCCAGCTGCTCTGCTTGCACCACTTTTAGCAGACACCATAAAAAGTAAAAAACTAGTGAGAATAAGAGCCCCAAAGCAAAGCTACAGGACTGATTTAGCTACACTATTTCCATAACAGAAGTTTCTGAGTTCCCCCATGTCTCTTGGGTGCTCTCTGTAGGTATTACCTGCTTGGGTCACACAGCAGAGAGCTCCTGATTATTTATTATTTGTGTACTGAGGTTCCCATTCTTGCCTATCTGCATCTTTTATTTTCCTATCTTTCCTTACCCCGCACAACACCACTCCTGTTTCCACCAGGCTGACAGGGTAATAAAATTAGGAAAGGGCATGTACAACTAACCAAGAGGATAGTCAACAACCAAATGAAGCTTAAAAAATAATTAATAATAATTCTATATAAAAAAAAATTTAAAAACCCGTTCAAGTTCTACAGGCTTCTGGCAGAGTTTGGTCATTTAGCCCAGAGGTCTCTGTCTTCAAGGCCTGCAGGCTAAATCGTCTCACCTGGCAAGAAGCATGCAGTAGAAGGTAAAATTCTGACTAAAAGAAAAATGTAGTTAAGGGTTGGGAGGAGAAGAGGCTGTAACATAGAAACCCAATACTTCGGTAGCAGCACTTATGCTACACGGTAGGCTTTCAGGAGAGTGAATTCCTTTCTGTTGGTGCGAGCCGCCCAGATGAAGAGAGCAGCTGCCATAAACTGCAAAGGTGCCGAGACGCAGGCCAGGCAGAAGGACCAGCCGAATTCCCCCCTCACATCATCCGGCAGTGGCAGCTTCTTATGGAGCAGCTCAATCCCAGCTACGTAGCAGGCAACCAGGCCCAGCGTACAAAGCCCTGGGGAAGGAAGCAGCAAAGCACAGTGAGCTCGCCCTTGATGTGCTCTGGCTGCCACTGATGAGCTGCTGGAGGAGGGAGGGTAAGTGGTGGACGGCAGGAGACCTACCTGCTAGGAAATGGAGGACTCCGGTGGCAATGGCAGGGTAAAGGCTGCGGCAGGCACAGGCACAGAGCCCAATGAGAGCCCCAAAGCACATGAGGCCGAGGCTGACAAAGGGCAGAAGGAACTGCAGTCGCCAGAGATCTGCACGTGAAAAGCACACAAGTTTGATGAAAACGTGCTAGAAACTGAACCTCTCCCACCATCTTATATTCCCTCCTACCCACACTGCTTCAGACACTCTACACTGACAGCTAAAAAGGACAGAAGGCCTCACTAAAGTAGAAAGAACTTAATTTGTTAACTCCCAAATACCTGTACTGCATTCATGGGCAAAACCTTTGCTAAAGAACTTAAGTTTTCCTTTTAAACTTTAACCTACTGCCTGTGTTACTGTGAAGAAATGAGAGGAAAAAACAAACAAACAAAAAAAAAAACCACAGAGGAAGATACAGATACTTCCCTCACTAGTATCTGAGAAATGTTTTTTAGTTTGTTTTTTTTTTTTTTTTTTTTTTCATCCTACTTGTTTACCTGCCAGAAGTGAAAGACACTTACAAGTTCGATTCAAATCTGTGCCGCTATTGTGATTTCCAGGCTCTATGTACTTTTCCATAAATTGATCAGAGAGGGAAAAACTGATGCAGTTTGTAGTCATATCAGTTTCTGGGGGGGGATGGGAAAGAAAAAAGACAAAAATTACCATTAGGTGCCTCCCATCTCCTCCCTTCAATTCCACCTTTCCCAGCCATTTATGCTGGGAAGCTCCCCAAAGAAAAAACATTCTAGAGAAAAAATTACCTCTCAAAACAGATCTGGAAGATGCCTTATCATAATATAGTTAGAATAACATAGTTACTACAATGAGTGGCAGCGTTCAAACATGCAGAATCTTCAAGCTTACCTGGATTATCCACAGAGAACTGGGCCATGCTTAACAGATTGGGAAAAGAAATGTGGCATGAGATGCTCAACTATGTTGTTACATATTCTTGTACTCAGAGTCGCTTAACTGAGCTGTGCTTATCTCCATGTGCAGCGTATAGTATTGTACTAAGTACTTTGTTCAAAAATGGGATAGAAAGGACTATGTAAAGAACGGAAAGTATTTGCTCCTTTGTACTCAATTTCTACCCTTTTATACTTCAGTTAGATTACCTCAGTTATATTTTCCTTTGAAAATACTATTGAGCAGTATTTTCATTAGAGAAAAGAAAAAAAAAGAGTATGTCATGTAATGTTTTTTTCTCCAGAAAAAGTGTTTGAAAGTATATTTTTTAAAGAAGGTTCAAAATGAAGGGCTTCATACACACAGTATGTGTCCAAAATGTACTTTGAAGCAATTAAAATAATTGCTCACCACATTTTTTTTAGCCCCCAACCACTGTGAAAAAGAATGCAAATATTTCATTCTATATCCAGCACTACAGTACAAGGACTCCAAAATGTGCTGATCCAGCAGTGGGATATCTGTGACTTGTGAGCAAAATGAATGACTGGTTAAAGGGAACGAGTGCTCCCCTGATAAAGTAATATCTTTATTCCACTGCTGGATCCCAGGACCTCTCCTAAAACAACAGTGACTGGCAGAGCAACTATAACTGTATCCCTAGGTGGACAGCAGATGCAAAAGAAAATCAAGTTATACTAGACTAAATTTAGATCAAGTATCACATGTGAAATCCAGAGTCTGTAGCACTGACAGCCACAGACCATTCTGCCTTTCGCTTCTTTAGGAAATCAGACTGTCTTTATTAAAAAACCCCACATAAGCTAGAAATAAGCCTTCTGGAGGAACAAAGTGGCATTAGTATGTTGTGAGGAAGTTAGCACATACCACCCCAGGGAACCTAGGGAAGCATTAAATGCTGTGGAAATACCTGGTGGGCTGTACCAGTGGGAGTTTTTGGGTACAGTGATACACCTCCGCCACAATCCAACCGTGCCATTGCACCGGAAGAGCGCATCTGTGTAGGTCTTCTCGTCTGCCTCTTCACTGACAAATTCCTCCCAGATGCTCCTACCAGCTTCACTAACATTCTCAGCTGGGGACAGGGTGTGGTATTCGTACCAAAAGTCGGTGCCGATGGAAGCTGCCATATAGATGGTGGAGATGAGGCTGAGAACACACGCAATTACTAGCGCTGTAGCAAAACGGTTGTCCATCATTGCGCCCTTGCTGCTGCAAGAAAAGAGAGGGCCAAGTGAGTAACTCCTCCGACAGCAAACACAAAGTTATCTCAGCAGTGTCAAACTCATGGCATCATTCCTCTTACGCAACGTTACCTCAGGATACGCACGTCTTCCTTTTCCAACACGCTGGAATCAAAGGAACACTGAGTGGGCCTACAGTCTTCGTCAGCATCCCTTGGATCTGGGAGTTCAAGGCACAGATATCACCCTCCTCCCAGCCACGCCACGCTCGCTGCTCTCTCCGAGACAGCGACTGACAGCGCAGCAGCAGCAGCTCTGTCCCCCAAGCAGATGGCACCGCTCACTGCCATTTGTGATCCTGACTGTAGGGACCTGCAGGGAAGCCATCCACAGCGCCCAGGCAGAAGACTTATCTTTCCTTAAGAGATTACCAAGGGTGGAAGTTATTTTTAGCCTGCCATCCCATACGGCTTTCACAGCTTGTGTTTACAGCAAAGATAAGAACCACAAAGCATGTCAAAAAAAAAAAAAAAAAAAAAAAAAGAAAAAAGCTCTTCTAGGCTGTTCACAAAGGGCAGCCATGCCAAGGTGCTGGAATGCCTTTAGGGAAGCAGAGAAATGTATCTAGGTACTAGAGACAGAACATGAAGGAAGTACTGAAAGACCAATTTGGAAATTATGATGAATGCTGCGGTAACACCGCAATGCATACAGTGGTATTTCTGAAAAGCTAAAACAATGCTGGGGGGGTGCCCTGTCCATGGGAACAAGATGACAAGAGCTTCCAAAACTGAAAGGCCTCCATGCCCTGGCACAAGGACTTTGCTCTGGCTCCCTTTACTAGGGGTCATTTATGCCCTCCTTTGCAGGGTCGTGTCCACAAATGGTGTCAATTCAGGGTCGAAGGAGGCATGGGAGAATACAGATGCCACCCATGCTTACGCTTATGACAATACTGTGACTTTAATGAACAATTGATTGCTAATACATGGAATGTTTTGCAGATAGTGCACTATGTCAGAGGACTCTCAGATGCCCATTGTTCTCATGTTTTCTGTGCTGGATTAAATTTATGGATTATGATGAATCAGGCTTGAGGCACTTGCCAGAAAAAAAAATAAAATCAATTGAGGTTAACCCAGCAGCTAGAGCTAGTCTGGTGACATGAGCTACTATCTAATCAGCTCTTGTCTATTGCTTGTTCTACCTCCCTTCTCCCACATACTTTGATCAAAATATTTTGGTCTAGTTTAGTTGCAACTGAATGAACCGCAAGTGGAAACAGCAAATGCCTTAAAACACGACATTCACAGGGAAAAACACAAGTGCTCAAGTCAGACCTGCCAGTAACAAGTTCTGAACTATGAAACAAATTAAGGTGCAAATTAAAGCTGGGAGTTTCAAAGGCACTGATATCTGCTGCTAACAATGTCATTCTTATTTCTTTTCCCCTCCCACTTGCTCCTCTATTTGGTTGAAACTGGCTAACAGGACTGGGGAGGAAAAATTATGTGTACCCATAACATTCCCTATGCTTAATTTCCATATTAAATGGGGCACACTCTCTGTAATATGTGTCCTTGAACCGCATCCTTAGCAATGAGCAAGGATAGAACTGATTTTTGGTAAACTGACAAGCAGCATCTATTTAAAATACTGCAAAGTTTGCATACGACAACTGTACTTAAATAACAATCCACAGGCTTGAACTTGGACAAATACTGAGAGGGAGAATACATTGTATCTGGATTTATTTATCTAGAAGACATAGAATCAAGTCCAGACTTGAAAGCAAATTCTCTGTGCAGTGTTTAATTCTTCGTTATGTACTTCAATTCTCCTTTGATATCCCAGCCTCTATGTCAAGATACACAGGACACAGGATGAGCAGAACACAGAGAGAGCAAGTTGCTGTATAGATCTGACCTCACCATTCTTCCCCACTGAGTTCACTGGGGGAAGTTCAGTGGGTTCCCATCCCTTCACAAACAGGACAAGTACAGCTCTGAACCAAGCAGATCCTCTGGGAACTCACTCCCAGGGCAAGCAGCAGAACAGGCTGGCAAGCAGGCTGGTCTGGATTTTCCACTATATTGCAGTCACATTCACTGCAAGAGGAACCCTCTGCAATAGACTCCTCTCTTTAGAAAGGGCTCTCGAAGGAGGAGGAGGAATTGCAAGAACCTACAAGATTCATCCTCAGAGTAGCATCTGGCAAAAAAAAGAGCATAAGCAGGGCATTATTGGGCCACCGGTTCGCTGCTGTTGCCTTTTAATATAAATGCTTACAATAACAAAGTCCTATGAACTTTGTACCTAACACATGGAAAGAAAAGAACCGACTCAAAAATCTGACTTTCAGATACAACATCCCAAGTACAGAACATGGGTGCTGGAAATATCCCTATCAGAGCATCATTAAAACTTAATCACATGCTTCTGGCCAGCCTTCTGCGCGCTGGCATACAGACTTGGCAGAGTTCATGTCAGTTGGCAACCAAGAGTAGTTCACAGGCAAAATGAAGGGTTAATCATCAAACAGTAAATTAAAGCACTACTCACTGTTCACTACTCGCTTGGTAAAAGGGACATGGCTACCTAATAACATTCAATCCTTGTAATGCACAGCTCCAGGGACAGGCAGAAAGCAGCTGAGGTGGCAACAGTCCCCAAAACTTAGCGGGTGCCTTTGTGTGGCATTTGTCCCAGAAAGAACACACATGGATTTTCAGTACAGACAAGACAGTGCCAAGGCAAGAGCATGCCCCCAATTCCTTGTAATAAACATCCTCTCAGTGCTTCTGCCTAACACTTCAACTACTTACAGAAAAGATGAACTCCACAAAACTTTAGGCAAATTTTTGAACTAGAAGTTCTTGCTGCCACAGTGCAGTAGACTTGACTGCCCTGCCCCTGCACTGTGGATATCCAGTGCATCATTTACAGTAGACACAGCCCTACTTAAATGAGTTGTCCTTTGCTCTGCTAAAGAGAGAACCATCCTTCCAGCCCCAGGCAGAGTTCAATGGGAGTAGTAAGCAGTCAGTAAGAAATAGTTACCAGAAAAGACCATGAAGAAGAACACTGCATGTTTATGAGATTATGCGACAATTTGCAAAAGGTTCTGTGCAGAACAATATGTAGGAGGTGCCTTAGAATGAGCTTACTTACCAAAATTATAACTACAGAAGATGACCTTATTTATAAAGACCTGAAGATCGGTAACAAATAGAAATACTTTGCCTTTATAGGCTGGCAGAAAGAACCTTCGCTGTTTTTACAAAAATAGCACTGCCAGCACATTTTATTCCAACAGTAGAAGCTATTTCAAACAAGTTATGGCTGAAACTAAGCTATGCAATGAAAGTAAGACAACACAAGGCAGTAGTAAACAGGTGCTCAGCCAGAATTGCTTCAGAAGATAATGTAACTATACTCATTTTTTAAAGAAGTGAGACACAAAAATTTCAAAGCACCAGCTTATAAAAGAGAAGGCAAAGGCCAAACTAGCAGCAACATTCAAAGGGTTTACTAGATGCATGCACTTCATAAAATGGGGGGAAAAAAAGGGCAAATCAGTATAGTTGAAAAAGAAAAAACACAGAACAACATAAAAGCAAGTATTCTGGCAAAAAATCTACTGGAAGACTGAAGAACGAATAAGAATTTTAAGACATTACTGTACCGTGGCAGAAAGGAATATGTGTATTTTTATTTTGTGATGGCAATCATTCCCTTCAGCCAACAGCGGGCCACTATATTTAAAAAAACTCCTTTACTTGACATCACAAGAGGAAGGATGCATTTGCTGGCACCTCTTTAGAAAACACGCTTGCAATCTGACTGTTAAGTGGGAAAGCAGAATAGGCAAGAGGCCTAGAAGAACATGTAAATGGGGGGGGGGGGGGGGGGGGGGGGGGGGGGGGGGGGCAGAGGGCTGACAACACTACCAAACAGGATCCTCCTTTTAATACTCGGGGTAACAGAGGGTTAGGAAACAATGCTAGTGAATACTTTTTTACCTTCAGAGCTCCTCAGAGTCCCCCAGGACACACAGCTCCAGTGATTCCAGGTCACTTCAGTGACACCACGTTGTTTGTGCTTTGTGGTCAGCACAGAGAATGAAAGGCAAACTTCCTATCTGCCCTAACTGTTCCATTCATTCAGTTCTTCAACGCCAGCCGCTCACAAAAAGTCACCTAGAGGTAGAAAGCGAACCAAATCGTTTGAGATCATAATTTCATTTTGAAATTATTCAAATCTCCAAGCATTACTCATTAAGAAAAAAAAAAATATTAACAAGGGTGCGGGGGGGGGGGGGGGGGGGGTGGAAGGGGAGGAACCCAAACAGACTGCAAGAGCCCTCAGGCCAACGCCCCACGCGGACCCACGCAGCGCCCGGGGTAACTGACCCCACGGACGGCGCTCGCCCCTGGCAAACGCGGAGCCGCGCTCCGGCTCCGGCCGCCCAAGCGGTGCCGAGACGCTTCACCCCCCGCCGCCAGGCCGAGGCACCAGCCGGGCCGGGCCGGGCCGGGCCGGGCCCACCTCCCCACACCCACCCCCCTCCGCTCCGGCCTCTCAGTCGAGCCAACCCTGCGAGGGGGCACGACCGCTGACAAGCTGCGAACTCGGGGAGAGCACCTCAACACCACCACCACCACCTCCCCCCCAACGGTTACAACGGCCGCACCCACCGCCACCTCGCACCCCCGGCCCGGCCCCGCCGCACCGCTTCCGTCCCGCCGGTGCCCAGGGCCAGGGCAGCGCCCCCCCTTCTTTACCCCGCCGCCGCGCGGGGCACCCTGGGGGATGTAGTTCTCCGGCTCACGGGAGGAGCGGGCGTCTATGCGCCGCCGCCGCGATGCCTGCTGGGATTTGTAGTCTCCCGGGCGCCCAACCCTCACCTTTCGACGCCCACTGGCTTCCCACCCCGCCTCATCCCCTCAGCCGCTTGCAGGGCCCCGCCGCTGACACAGGCCAGGCCCGGCCCGGCTCAAACCGCAGCGGCGCAGCCCCACACCTCAGCACCCCCGCCCTCACGCTGCTCTGGCCGGGCGTGAGGCGCGGCGATGATTAATGCTGAAACTGCACACCTGCAAGACACACGGGCGCTTGGGCTGGATCCAGAGTCACGGTCCCAACGTCCTGCACCTGCTGTGACAGCCGTGAGTTTTCGCAGAAATTCTCGTTTCTGCAATTTCAATTATTTGGTCTTCCGCTGCGGCCATAAGGCTCACATTTCTTTCTTTTTTGCTTGCTTGCTTGTAAAAATGGTCACGGTAGCCTGGCTGAATGACTTGGGAAAACACCGAGTAAGGAAAAAAAATGAAGATTTAGTAAAAATTGCAAAAATTGGCAACACTGGCTCCAGGCCCCACATTGGACATTTCCCCCCATCCCTGGTACACATACTCATGCAAACTACAAGTGTGTTACCAGAAAGTGGTAATTAACTCACTCTCTAAGACTCAATTTTGGAGTTTTAGAAAGCAGGCATTCTTTATTACAGCACCAGGCACACAGGGGAGAGCTCCTCCTAATGTGTGTGTGGGAGAATGAAATCAACAAGCATTTATACTACCTTAGTCATACATATTCATTGCATTTTTATCATATTCGTAACTTTTCCGGGAACTCATTTAGCATATGTTAATGTCTGTTACACATGTCAGTTGGAGTCTTCAGGTGGTTGTCAGGGGTCTTCAGATGAAGGCTCGTAGTCATCTTCACTGTGTTCGCCAGTTGACCCTTACTTCTGCGCAAACTCAGCCCTGTGGTCACGTACATCTCGTCCTTCCAGGCTGGCCTGGTCTGGTTTTGTTGCTAATTTGCAGCTTCTTTATGTTTCTTTGCACCTGCCACTACAAGGCCAAACCGTCTCCAGTAAGATTATTTATGAGTGCCTTATCCTACAGTTATTCCAACTATTCCTCAAAAGATCAGTGTTTGTCCTGCAGCACAATTGTTTAATGGTTAAAACATCTTAAATTGATCTTAATAATTCTCTTCCACAAATATCTATTTTCTAATAATCTTAGTTCACAGGTATCAAGAGGATTCTTAGAAGTGGTTAGCAACTCCCCAGCTGACGGACCACCATACCCAGTTTTGATTTTACCAACCTCCAAACTAGCAAACAAATACTCATAAAAAACAGAATCACATCCGAGGCTTTCACGTCTCTAAGGGCTTCTGGGGAACAATCCTGACCAACTCCTCTCCCAGAGCAGCCAGGAAGCATTTTCGCAGAGAGGTAAGAAGCTATGGTGGCAATGGTGAAAGCAGTGATATGAGAAACTTCTCTCACTTGGTGTGACAAAATATTTTTTTAATTTTAAAAAACAATTAGAAATTATACTGAATTAAGAAACCTCTGCCTATTTGCCCCACCTTTCCAGGTCATGGAACTGTCTCACCAACACCTCATAATGTAACTGTCTACAAGAACGTATTCTGGGGTCTGACTGGGATTTATGCTAGACTCCAAAATATTTATCATCTTTATTGATGGCCTGGAAGAAAGCAGAGTATCGCTGATAAGCTTCACAGGTGGCACGAGGCCCGAGGCAAGGGTAAACAACGACATGGAGAGGGTACAGGGTGACCTGATCATTTGGCAGCCAGAGGCAAACAAACATGCATTTCAATAAGGTCATCAATGAGCTCATTCATTTAAGAGCAAAGAGTGGAGGCTATACTTACCTGACATAAAGCTTTATCCTGGGGAAGCACAAAATGAAAAGGACAAACAGGTCATGGTGGATTACCAACTGCCAAGATGGTGCTGTGGCCAAACCCACCAACTTTCCTGCAACCTCGGATGTATAAACAGAGAAATCACAAGGAGGAAAGAAGCTGTATCACATCCAGAGTTGCTGCTGGCTGCTGAAATAGTGTGTCTTCTTTTGACATGTTGATAAAGTGGACAGAAACCTGAAAAGGGACATGAAAATCACTGAGCAATTAGGAAACCTCTCTCAGTGAAATATATCACAGGTCAGTCAATTTAATTTACTGAAGAGAGAGCTAAGGAGTTACGAGACCATAAAATACATGTAATGGCAACAGGGAACAAAAAAATCAGTAATAGCTTTTTCAGTATACCTAGCAAAAATATCAGAAGTTGAAGCTAGAAAATGTTAAAAGAAAAAAAACAACCAAACAAACAAACAAAAAAACATCCCCTCTGTCTTCTAAACCATGGGATAAGTAGAATTGGAACCATTTACTGTAAATCACAGTAAATTCTCTAACACTGGCAAGTCTATATGTTTTTCTCCTAAAAGATCTGTTCTTGTGAAAATGAGAATCAATTCTGGAAAATTTTGCAGCCATTGTTACTTCCATTATTGAATTAGACTACAGTGGCCTCTTCTTTTTCATAATTTGCCCTGATCAATATGATATGTTCAGCTGCTCAAAAACAGCCAGAGGGAAGAAATGTGTTTTCATTTTATTTATTTAGTTTCAAATACTCTCTACAGATTTCACCTGGATTTTTTTTTCTGGAAAAATACCCTACAGTATAATAAAAGTGATCCAATAAAAATGTTACAAATGAATTCACAGAGTAATTCATTGCTAACACCTATCTTATTTCGTTTTCTCTTCTTTTCACACCTTCTCAGTGTGCCTCAGCAGAATCACTGGATTGATCAGTTTAGCTACAGAACAGGATAATTTGGGAAGGTTTTCAAAGTAAAAATTTCTTTGTAAAAGAAAAAGTTTCAAAGTAAAAATTACTTTGCAAGCACAAAAAGAATAACGCTGATGGCTATAGCTTAAATGCTGTTCCTGCTTTTTGCAAAATGAAGTTTCTTCGGTAGCAGACCTGTATCAAGTGCATTAGTTCTCTAGCACTAACAGAGTTTAACATCCCAGTACTGCAAACAAAACAAACAAACAAACCCCTAGTATGTTGCAAAAAATTCGTGTCATATAAAATTTGTGTCATTTTAGCTCTCACAGTCTAAGAAAATAAGTAAACATTTGTAGGAAGTGGCACTGTCTGTATTAAATGAAGTTGATACATGATGAGAAATGAAAAAAACCTTCATTGTATTTGCTTCAGTTGATGATTCAGACCTGAAAAAGGTGCTCAATGCCCATTTCTTCCAATACTACTAGTTCATTTACTACAAGATATTGCCTCTCCCAACAAATATTCTCTTTGTAATAATAAAACAGTGAGTGTTAGTTTTTGCGTTTTAGGCACCAGCTACCAGCATTTCACATAGACAGAATGAGCAGAAAATCCCATGGATTCCCCTCAGATCTCTTTATACAGTCTCCCTGCTTTTATTTCTGCCTTCTCTATCTTTCTATCTGTGTCACAGAACATGGTAGGCTAAGAAAACTCTGCCGTAATTATAATTTTCACAGAGAGAAGACGTTCTAGATGTGCTTCTTCTAAATACAATGAATAGCATAGGTTTGGCTTTAACTTGTCCTCAAGTCAGTGGTCTCCAGACTGTTTCATTATGCACCTCATTAGTAAAAACTTTTTGAGCATGCACCCTTATATGTTTGTGGGGTTTTTAAAATTATATACATGTACGACTGTACTAATATGTGTGTTATAAAACATATACAAAAATAATTTTTAAAAGGATGATATAAAGAGGAAATAAACACTATTTTTAAAATATTTTATTAAGTGCACAAAAAATATTTTCTTCCTGCGCTGCACTTTGTAAACCACTACTCTCAGTGTGACACTATTTCAACCTATCATGATGCATTGTCTCAGTGCCCACAATTTTACCTGAATCAGTTCTACCCTCTCCTCTTTGTTCAGGGGTGAAACTTCTGTTGGTTAGTATTGATCTGGTTACCTCTGAGCCTGCCTTCTCCTAGGTTATAGCACGGTAGGGCAGTTTCAGCCAATCTGGGTGCGCACGAGCGCGCGTGTGTGTGTGTGTGTTGTTTTTTTATTTAGGTCTGCAAATCTCTATTTCTTACAGTAGGTTTTTGAAGCACAATCATTCAGAAACTACTACACTTTCTTTTACAGCCAAACGAACTTCTGTTCCTTCTCATCATTTATCATCATTAATAATTTACAGATATGTAGCTTGTTTTATTTAGATGCCTGTACTTCTATAAAAGCATGTGTACAAGTTGGAACAAAACCACATTTAAACTATGAGTAAAATGAAGAATAGAAAAAAATTTTAAAAAACCCACAAACCCACATCTTGCTACCAAAAATGCTTCAACTGCAGAAATTTGTAAGGGGGGGTGTGTGTGAGGGGAATGTGTGTGTAACATACTAAATCAACAACACTGCATACTTCCGGTGCAGATAGTTCTGCTGTGCATCTCTTTTACCGATTTTGCCACAAAATTAGAAGGCTACCATAATACAGGTATCACAAGCACTACAGAACTGTGAACCAAGACATGAAATCTTTTCCCTTGCTACTGCTGGAAATCCTTTAGCTTTTCCTATGAGGAAGACTTAAGGAACGGTACAAACACTGACAAGACAAACTTCCCAAGTGCATCTGAGAAAGGCAGGGCCGTCAGAGAAACAGACGCTCTGAAGCAGAACTGGCCAAGTGCACGGCCATGATCACAGTATCTGCCGTGAGAGCGTGGTTACAAAAGCTTTAGGTTCACTCCCAGGTTCCAAACGACTCAGCACCCAGCGGCTGCGTTTTTTCAGAGCTGCATCAAGGGCTGGGCAAGATGGGTACCCCGAATGGAAGGACACACACCCAAGCCAAGCCAGTTGCTGTTGCTTCAGCAGAAAATTTTGTTCGGGAAAAGGGTTTACACGTATCTGGAAAGGTCTGGGAGGAGGAAGGTGCTGTGGAAATCTAGGAGGGGGGTGAGGAGAGGGTGGAGGCTGGTCCTCCTGGTGACAAAACATCTCACCTTATCTCTTGTATCTTAGCACATCATGTGCCGAGCTTTCTGGAATATCTATACAGAAGTGTTATGAAGGGAATTTCCGTGTGCTGAGTACTTTGGAGAGCTTGGCTCTGCCTCAGGGAAATGAGCTCTGGTAAGCGTTAAGACCCTACCTGACACCCTAAGTGAATCACTGCCACATAAAAAAAAAATCACAAGGCTTACAGACTACTGGCAAATACGGCTGCTCTGCTACTGCTTCAATTGGATAATTACAGATCGCTTAATTATTCATTGCAACGCTTCATACTATCTTTGCAAATCTTTTGTCCAGATAAGGAAGTGTCACATCTGTAATAAAACACACAGCGACATCTACAAGTCTATTTCGAGCATTCAAGAAATACAAAGCAGAATCAAGAGTACAGAGTCAATCCCTGTTGAAAAAGGTTTACTATCTAATTTTATTTTAGTAAGTAAGGCTATTAAATTACAGGGAGACAACAAAGTGAGGAACCGCAAACACAACAATATATGGACATATGCTTATCTTTATGGTTCCATTAAGCTTTTTGAAAAGTTACTCACTTCTTTGTCTGCTCTGGGATGGGGAAAGGGAGGGAGTGAATTTCAAGAAGGAGTATGCAGTAGTGTGAGATGGAAAGAAAAGTTTCTGCCTGATCCCTGAAGCCTGCAACTGCATTTAAGCTGTTAGGATCTAAGTACAGAGTAAAGTAACATGTAGGTCCATCTCTGCAAGAGAGGCAGGACTATTATACCACAGACTGTAGCGTTCAGCTGACTCTACTATGGATGGAAACTGAATGACTCCAAGTGCTTCCTGGAAGAAAATAACTGAAACACATTCCTTGAAGCAGAAATAAGCAAAGATGACACAAACCTCACCTCTGCACTGGATCCATCAAAAATTGTTTCCGTAACTGTAAAATACTTGGGCATTTTTACACAACTCTTACCTAAAAAGTGGGTATATCTTTTGTAATCTTCAGATGGTGAGAAGATGATTTTTAGCCTGTGCTTCCTTACAGGCTCACACTTATGGCTGCGGCATACTAATCGGTAATCTAAGCCAGGGTGTATTTATATACCTTTGTCTTTTTTTCAGAGTTTGTGATGGCTGAATTACACTCACTGAGATAATTAAATTCTTACACATTCCATGACAAACAGTCAGCTAGAATCCACTAGTGCCCTATGGATAGGAAGGCAGTTGTATATAACTAGGTCCTTATTAGACATCAGAGTTTCTACACAAGAGAGAGTTCCCACCTAAATATCCCTCGATCCAGCAGCCAGTTGTTTAATATCAGCTGGCTGCTCTTCCAGGTGACTGGAAGTCTACCAGGTACCTGCTGCACAGCAGCACATAACCTGAGCGCTGGCAGAGTGAATCGGAGTGCATCCGGAGTGCGCTGGAGGGACTAATTTGCTGTTCCTGCAATTTGGAGTTGCTCTTTGCCTGTGGAGACATATACAGATGTGATCTATCTGCCCCGAGCTCAAGCATACTCCAGTAAGCAGTATGCTCGAAGATTTGAGAGTCCTGAAGATGCGCCTGGTCTGCAAACATGCAGGTGGGAGGGAGGGGAAGAAGAAAATTCATTTATCTGCAGAAGAGAGGAAGGGTGATGAAGACCAGTAGTAGAAGTTTCAGATTAGTATGCACTGACAAATCTGTAATGAATTCGACAATTTAAAAAGTGAGAATTTTCATTTGATTTATCCAACGCTGAAAGGGCTGTCTGTAAGGTAAGCCACAGCTGGCGCAATATTGATATTGAGAATAAAAGATGAAGGAAATCAGAGTTCTTCAAGAGAAGCGAGCACTGTACGTAACAACGGCTCAAGAGCCACGTGGGCCACAGTCAGAAGGAGAAGCAACGAACAACTGCCCTGGAGACCAGAACAGTGGCCGATAAGAAAGCCTGGGTGGGGATGGGAATGTCAAACCAAGTTTCAAATTGCAGAAGAATATATGACACACTGGAAAACTGTCCTCTAAGTTTCTAATACATTCATAAAGCTGGGTGTGGGGAGCCCAGGGCTAGGGGAAGTGG